GTGGACAGGAAGTACATGTTTATGTTCTCTAGAGGGGTTTTGAGACCTCTGTTGTTGGAGCAACTTAGCGTTTGCTAAATGTAAAAAAGTAGGTTTCAAAGCACTATACAGTAAGGTTTCAAAACCCTATCCAGTATGATCTTTTACAAATATGTACACACCCCAGCGCGTACACGTGAAGGTCTGGAGAGGTGTATGCCTAAGTGTTCTCTGGTCATTGTCTCCTGTTGGTGGGAATTATGGGTATTATTCCTTTTGCTTGCCCACATTACCTAATTTTCTATAAAAGGAACACATGTATTCCTTCTGGTATTAAGAAAGCGAGCCTACGATTGAGACGACAGCCAAGAATTAGATGAGGATGAGTAAGGCATTAAGTACCCACGCGCCCCACGGTGCGGGGGCTGATGAAGCTTGCTGGCGGCCCAGGCTGGCGCTCGAACCCAGGGCCTGTTACTGCCCTCCACGCTCCCCTTGTCACCCCCTTGTCCCCCACCTTCCCCATACCTTCTTGCCCAGAAGGCTGCTTCACTCCTTTGTCGCTACCCAGCTGGGGGACCCGTGAGGCTGCAGAAGCCCGCTGCCGGCAGGACCCTGTGCAGTGAGCACCAGGCCACCGCGCCCACTGTCCCCGAGGACAGTCAACCCGCAGCTGAAATTTCAAACTCAATTAGCACAGAGACAGGCTGAAGCCGCTCTCGAGTAACTAATTGTCTGAGATCTGCCAAGACGAGCCTCTACCCGGGATGTGCCTGTGAACGTGAAGGTTTAGCTCTTCGAGTGCTAATAATAGGGAGCAGCCAGCCAGCAATTTGAAGTGCAACTCGGGAGGGATGCTGGGAGGTTCCTTCCATTAATTTGAGGAGCGGGGTTGGGGATGAGAGTGGGGGTAGGACGGCAGAGATGGGGAAATAAACCTGCCTGTCCCAGAAAGTGAAGCCTAATTATTCCCCGGGCAGATGAGCCGGAGGACAGGCTTGTCCATGGACGCCATGGGCGCATCTCCAAGGCGCACCCTGTGCGGCCTTGAATGAGCTTTCTCTGCGACAGAACAGCCTGGTTGGCTGCACCCCGAGTGAGGGGGTGGAGCAGGCTGGCCCACCCTCTCCTGTCAAAGGCAGGACACTGAAAGCCCCTGCTCATTTCCGGCACACCAGTGTAGATGCAGACTCTGGGGGGCACAGACAAGCCAGGTGAGTGGTCATATTCTGTCCTCTATCCACAGACCCCATGGCCCAGCGACGCCTCCCGTCCAGTGGGCGGGTGTTCCGGACCTTACTGGGATTCCTGGTGGCTGAAGCCGCCGTCCCCTCTCCTCCCAGCTTGGGTGACCTTAAAAGGCTCTCAATTTAGCAGCAGGCCCACACTCTGACACTCAAAACGCGATGGAGAGTTGGCACCTTAACACTGAAAGATCATTTTAAGCCCGCAGATTTCCGTCAGTGGCGTGAAGTGTAAAAACATCACTCGATACCAAAAGGCCAATTCCCGATTTAGTTCGGGGGTGGGAAAAATCTGGCCCACCTTTCCTGGCCCTCCTCATCCCATTCTGCCGGCTCCTAACGGGTGCCCTGCTGATCAACAGGAACCCGGTCGGTGGAAAGCACGGAAAAGACACATCGCTGCTCAACCTGGCAGACGCAACTGTAAGACAGATTTCCAAGTTTGGGCCAAGGGAGCTTCTTGGGCCATTCTCGACACAACATGCCCCACAGAGCAGGGACTGCTCAGCCCCTCTGCTCCTGGGGAAAAAGCGACGAGGGCGGTGGGACACCCAGGCCCCTCCAAGCCTCGTGCACATGATCGGGAAAACAGCACAAACCCACCCAGGGGGAAATTAACAACATGTGGGAAGCGCCTGGTACAGAGGAGATGCTGGGCTGTCCAGGCGGTCATCAAGGCACCTAAAACACCTCGTGGTTCTGACCTAGAGCTCGCCACACAGTCTAAGTGATGGGGTCGGGTTGGGGGGTGGCTGACACAGCGCTGATGGCCATGCCCGCTTCTGCGAGGGGCTCCACTGGGTGGTTCTGGCCCCGGGGACGGTGCCCCTAGAAACGCCAGGGCCCAGCTTCCTCACAGTCCACGTCTTGGAACCGACCCCAGCCCTCCCAGTCTGTTTTTGCCCACTCCAAGTCAGTATGGTCTTTATGTTGGAAAGGTGGACACACAGCCAGGCTCTCTCACGGGCGTCTCTGAAGCACCAAGCGTTCAGGGATCTGGCGAACAAACTCCTCCCCTTTCCGGGCCCGGCCCTCTCCCTTTCAGCTTCCCCTTCTTGGCACTGAAGAAGGTCAGAGAGGAGAACACCCTAAAGGTTGCCTAGCCCGACCCTTATACCTTTTTCCCCATTTAATTAGGGAAAATTAAAAAATAGAAAAATAGAATCACATGCATCACCCACCTATCCGACACCCAGCTTCAGTGATTATCTACTCATGGAACATTACGTTTTGTCTACAAACCCCCCAGCTCCCTCCAGCTCTCCTGCCTTGCTGGCCCTGGGCCACTGACATGCGTGTTATGGGAGAGGATGAGTGACTTGTCCAAGTCCTACAGCTGGGAGCAGGAGGCCAGAGCCGCGGTTCTGACCCGGCCACCCCTTCACACCTTCTGCTGTGGCTACGCTCCAACGGTGCTGTTACTAAATTTTTTATCAAAGTATATAATTGCTTTACAGTCTTGTGTTAGCTTCTGGTGTTGTGTGTTATTATTTAACATTTTTCTTTAATGGTCTTGCTTTTCCCCCTAAGTACATTATTTTAACACGGAAGCTCCTGTAGTGAGACCAAGAACAATGCCACTCAAACCTGAGCAGAAACAACCGCCTGCCCAGGGCCCTGAACGCAAGGTCTGCTCTCTCCACTGGAAACAGAGCTCGGTGGGAGGTGGAGGGATCTTTGGGACCAACTAGGAGGCTCTCAGATTTGTTGCCAACACTGAAAAATCCAAATAGTTCTCTCACAACGTGGTGTTGCTGCTGTTGTTTAGTCATTAAGCTGTGTCCGACTCCTGGCGACCCCATGGACTTGAGCCTCACCAGGCTCCTCTGTCCGTGGGATTTCCCAGGCAAGAATACTGGGAGTTGGTGGCCATTTCTTTTCCAGGGGCTCTTCCTGACCCAGTGATCAGACCCTCATCTCCTGCACTGGCAGGTGAGTTCTTTACCGCTGGGCCACCAGGGAAGCCCCACAACGTGGTGTACTGTTACCATAATCCCATCGGTTGTCAGAGGGCTGGTTCACACGCGAGAAGGTCCCTGACGTGGGCTACCAGCCAGCTGGCCGTCAAGATGCACTAGTCATCAGCGTGTGCTCCAGCCTGTCACAGCTGGTCCTCTTGTCACTTCACACGGGCTCTGCATACCCGTACATCCTGCATGGGGTCTTTTATTTGCCATTTAAATGTCTTTAAAAAGACGTGCAGCTGTGCAACAAAATGCTATTATACACTCAGTGACCTCAATTCTGGATTTTCTTGCAACAAACAAGTGTCTTATAAGACCAAAGGAAGGAAAATACCAGCAAGGCATTGGAGTTGTGTTACTAGGAGCTCTGGGAAGGGATCGCCTGTCACATGTTAGACAGTGAGACTCAAGCCAGGAGAAAGCGCCAACCCCCTTGGAAGAGATGAAAGCAATTTCAGAATCATGAAAGGCTGGTGTGACTGATTCATGTGTCACACAGGATTATCATTAAAGCCTGTGCCATGGTTTAATCGGCAGCATGTTTTTCTTTCTTAGGGGGATCATGAAATAATGGTGCATCTTATGAGTGATGGCATCTTAAATGTGATAAATCCTGGTATTTAATCTAAAATCACCTGCTGTGTGCAAACATTCCTGTACCACATCCTGCCGCCACTCACCCTCCTGACCCAAACTGGGCCCTGAGAACACTGCCATCTCCTAGAGACCAGTGGTTCTCAGACTGGGGCCCACATCCAGACTTGCTAACAACCAGGGTGCTGGGCCCCAGCCCCAGCCTCTGATTCAGCCAGTCTGGGGTGGGGCCTGAGGATTTGTGTGTTTTAAAAATATTTATTTGGCTGCACTGGGTCTCAGTTGTGGTATGCGGGATCTTTAGTTGTGGCACTCTTAGTTGTGGCCTGTGAACTCTTAGTCGCGGCTTGTGGAATCTAGCTCTCTGATCAGGGATCGGACCTGGGTCCTCTGCACTGAGAGCGCAGACTCTGGGCCTCTGGACCTCCAGGGAAGTTCTGAGGATTTGTTCTAACAAGCTTCCAGCACGCCACGGCTACTGAACCACTCTCGGGGTGGCACTGTCCTACTGCTTCCCCCATCACTAAATCCCCTTTATTCTCTGGCACTTTTCATCTTGGCAGGGGTAAGTGAGGAGGGTCTGGGTGGTACCAGAACCCAGGTGGGAGCCATGCATTCTTTTGGACCCCTCAGAAAGCAGCGTCTCTCTGGCCCTGTTAACCGCAAAGAGAACTTGACTTGTCTGTAGGCTGGGCCTGCCAGAAAAGCTCTGGGGACTCACTCATCCTTCTCAAGACCTTCAGCAGGTCAATGCTTCTTCATATACGCAGGTCATGGCTTTAAACGGGGTCGAGGCCCTGAATAAACTCAGCAGATGGGGCTGGAATCTGCTTGTGGTTAAGATTCAGGACAAAACGGGACCAACAAGCCAGGCACAGCTGTCTGCCCTCTCACGCATGGTCTGGCAACGCAGGCAGATTCCTTTCCCTTTGGTATATATGTGTGTTACTGGTTTAGTAAAACAAAACATCTGTGCACTTCTCTCCTCAAAAAGAACAATCCAGTTTTCAAGCTGCTGAAAAGTCTTTGAAATGGAATATTTGCCAACACTGCCCTCTCTCCCGAAAGCAAGAAACAGGGAGATGTGTCCTCAAAAAGAATTATTTCAAATGCAGACATTACTTTTATATTTTTTTTTCCTTCAAAAGGCCCAGATCTGCTCACGTGTTCACAGAACTGAACGCAAAAGGTGGTTTAAGAAACAGGACACGAAGCCTTATCCCGGGTAGAAAAGGTTTATTGCTTATAAAAATAAGTTATGGAACAGAACAAAAAACTCGGCATGACAAGGGCTCACTCCAACTATAAAATGACTTAGAACATAGATCCAGGAAGGCTGATGGACCAGCATGGTGAACACACACAGGAAAACAAGCTGCCTAACTTCCTCGTCCTGGGTCCTAAGGCGCTCTCTGCACCTCCACACGCCGTCTCAACGGTGTGACAGTCCCGTCAACAGAGGGGACTCTGCTGTTCACCAAGCCTGAGCGCACGACGGAAGCGAGCAGGTGGCGGAACCGCCATTCTGGCCATGAAGACACGTCTGAGCCATCGCTGTGACTGAGGGCTTGCCTGGGAAGGTTCTGGGTGGGGGTCTGGGGGCTGGCGCGGGGCTGGGGTGGGATTACTGCCGGCAGGTGTCGTGGAAGGCCTCGAGGGTGCGGAAATCCCTCCAGGTGGGGGGCAGGCCATCCTGCAGAAACTTCCCGCAGCGCTGGCACGGGGCCTGGAACAGCTTTATGTAACTTCTTAGCCAGGTCTAAAAACAGAAGTAAGGAGAGAAGTGAAAGACACGGATCCGGGTGCTTCCAATGTCGTCCTTTCTGCCCAGCCTAATGATCTCTAGGACGGAGGACCTGGGCTGGCCGTGACCCCGGGAGGTGCCCCGAGATTTTACAGAAAGCTCCTTGGAGCATCCACAAGGTCACAGCACTGCTGAGTCTCAGTTCCGGTGCCCCGGGCCCCTCCTGACTAGGGGAGTTTTAAAATAGAAGTCCCTCCTCTGGGAGGCAGGCAGGGGTCCTGGAGAGGGGTGCCTGTGAACCTCGGCCCAGCCTCGTGGCTCAGGGGCCACGTGTAACCACATTCCATCCGAGTCCCGGGTCTTCTGAACACTGGCATCAAGCCTCTCCGTGTTCACCACCCAGAGGTGGCCTCGGACACATGCAGATAGAGGGCGAGCGGAGACTTCCCTGCTAAGGTCTAATGCCTTCTTACTAATCTGATTGCACAGGTCACCACTCACTGTCACAACATGGCCCAACGCACCTGGGGGGAGGGCGGGGACAACCCGGCGCCACCGAGTAATGCAATAAGCGGCAAGTGCACACTCGTGGGTTCGGGGGCAGAGTTCCTTCGGGCATCATACATAAGGATGAGACTCGTAACTCAATTCCCTGACTCAAGGAGACGCTCAGCCACGCCAGCCCAAAGTCACGGCGACGGGCCAGCAAGGGGGGGCGCGTGCCACCGTGATCACTCATGTTGGTTGGAGGAGATCGCTCCTGGGAGACGTCAGCCATGCTGACTGACAAATCCTGCCTTCATCACAGCGGCCCTCCCTCCTGCTGGCTGACCGTGGCCCACCCATCCCGCCCCCTCCAAAGGCTTGGGGTCTGAGGTTCTGGCGACAGATGTGAGGAGGTCAATGGTCATTCAGTTAAACTATTTATCCTTTCTAAAGGGAAACCAGGCATTATAACACGTTAGGTAAAAAGCAAGTCTTTCCATCTGCCCAAGAAGCGAGACTGCTGACTGAGAGTGTTCTCCACATATGAGAGAACCGCTGTGTGATGATGTCACGGAGCCCAGGTCTGCACGTTCAGCCTCCCCAGCGTGGGAGCCCATCAATGAGCCGGGGTGTATTTTCTAGGACATGAACTACAGGCTCCTAGAAGCTTAACTGCAGCAGAGAACATGACGAGGTGGATTGCAGGAGCGCCACTCCACGTGGCTGTCAGCACTGATGGGGACTTGCTAATAGGCCCGTACTCTAAGGGGCAGCCCCCAGGCAGGAGTGAAGCAAGGAGCGTCAGCCCCACTGAGAGAGGAGCCGACGATGTGAGGGCGTGACGCTGTGGTGCAGAAACAGCGGGCCGCCTCTGCCAGGGTGGGGGCCAGCTGCGGGCCCGGCTGAGGCTGACTGGCGGGCATGCGATAACATGATGAACTGCCTCGGCGGGTGGCGGGGAGGGATGGAGGGCAGAAGGGAGTGCTGACATGGAGGACTGATCTCCACAACGTAAGCGTTCTGGTTCCATGTCAATGGTTAAACAACCGGCTTGAGAAATCCTCAATGTTAACGAGAGCTGGCGGGAGCTGGCGCACACGGGGAAAGGCTGCTTCTGGTCCCTCCCCATCCTGAGCTCCGACCTAAGAGTCTAAGGAGTGGGTGTCTTGGAAGAACGATGTCACTGAGGCTGCTCCAGCACCAAGCTCGGGGCCCGGCACAGATCAGCAGCTCGATAAACACCTACTGACTGAATCAACGCCAGAAGCTGTGTCGGAAGGTCACAGCTGAAACCACGTGTTTGGCAATGATAGGAAAACCAGTTAACGGAGCGGGATGTGGTTTATCTTAGATCCCTGCCCAGCTGAAAGGAAGTATCACTTCCACACTGGGCCGTCTCCCTGGCGAAGCTCCTGTGAGCTACCTTCTGAGCTGTCTGTTTTCACTTGAGGGGCCAAGGCTTCACTAGGCGTGACCTCCAGAGCCACTTACCATGAAGGAGCGGACCACGACGTCAGGCATCTGGGGCAGCTGGTAGTGGAGCAGGGCGGTGGTGGCATGGTCAGTCACCTGGGAACCAAGGATAAGGACTGGGTCAGAGCCACTCAGAACCAGCAGAGAAAACAAGAAGGTGCTCCTTTTATCTGACGGCTGGTGGAGGAAAAGATACCTAATACAGCCTGAAGGTGGAAAGCTAGTTAGCAAGGTTGGGGGCAGGGAAGGGGAGGGGAGGAGTGTTGAGAGCAGAAAGGACATAAATATTCATGACCCAGGCCAAGTGAAGTGTGGAACCTTCCAGCAACCCCAGGTAGGCTGCAGCACCTGAGAAGGGTGTGGCCAGAGGCTGGTGGAGAGGTAAAACCGTGGTGAGCCCCTCCACTGCATGAAACACTGCCTGGACGCAGAGGCTCGTTTCCAACTGTCCATGTTCAACTTCAGTCTTCACCTGGGAATGATGTTCCTGCCAGCGTAACCGGTCTGTCTCTCTGCCTCCTTTAATTCCCATTCTGTCTCATAACTTGCAGCTATATGTGTTCTCCGACCAGGATTCTGTTCATTTCTGAGGATCTTTCCCCGGGGCCTCAGAGGTACTACCGTTCTCAACAGCTGTGCTGCTCCCAGTGTGATGCTCTGTCTGGCCAGCTCCTTGAAAGCTGTGGTCCAGTGGGCCACAACCCGCTGTCTCACAACTCCCCCAGCAGGGCCAAGAGCATCATGGCTCTAAGTTCATGCAGGACATCTGGGGACCAGATGGAACCTGTGCTGGGTTTCCGCCCCAGCTCTGCCTGCTGACCTTGATCCATCGAATCTCTCTGGGTCTCAGTGTCCCTCCTGAAAAGCAAAGTGCTGGCCGAAGATCCCCTGTAGTTCTGAAATGTGATGACACCCTGGATCGCTAATGCCTGCCATCCATCAGCAGATGAATAGATTGTTCCTAATTTGATAGCAGTGTTCAAACTCATGGTTTATTTGATTGTCTTCATTAGGGAATCCTGCCATTACAAACGATGTGGTCAAAAGACAAAAGGAAACAAAAACACCAAACAAAACGATCAACTTTGTGAACAAGAGTAATCATGGTCTGCTTGTGTCCACTCGCCTGTCTTCCCGCTGAGAAATGGAGTATTTCCTGCTGGATCAGGCTGTGTGTATTTCTTCAGTCGGCACCGCTCCCACCAGGACACCATGACGTGCTGACAGACCTCAGCAGCAGTTAAGTGAACTGGTCAGGTGGAAAGCAGCAGGGCTGGTTTGGTCTGGGTTCCGCAAGGGGCGTTGCGAATGATCCAGAAATTAGTCCATCTGTGTGTCTACACTCAAGGTCAGAGAGCCCACGCCCTGAAGAGCAAGGAGGCAGGCTCCCCAGCTCATAGAACCTCTCGAAGTCGTGGCTTCCCCCTGGATGAAATGGTCATGCGTGTGAAGTGCTTACCTTCCAGCCGTGCCTTGGGCCCGCCCGCCCCTCTCTTCCGCTCTCCCTGGCCCTGGGACTGGCCCTCTCTCCCGCTGGACTTCCAGGGCCTGCCTGGTGGCTAGTGAACTCTGCGAGATGACCAGCTCTGTGCAGGCGAGGATCACGCCCAGCCAGTTCATGCTGCGTCCCCGGGGCCTAGACTATCACCTGGCATCTAGTAGGTGCTCAGCACATATTTATTGAATAAAGAAATAAACTATAAAACGGTCATTCACCAAAAGCCACGAACCAGAAACACCTGTGCTGGCTTTCCTGCAAACCAGCCATGGTTCACGTATCCAACCACGCCGAGAAATTCTTACCCAAGTGACTTTCAAGATAAATGGTACTTATTCCTTCAAGTGCAAAGACTGTTTTTATTTTAAGAATTTTTGACAGACAGCTTTCTAAAATGAGCAAGGCTTTAAAAAAAAAAAATACAGTAGAATGATAACTTGGCAAAATGGCGGGTGGTGGTTGGCGGGGTGAAATGAACAGCTACAAAACGCAGCAAAGCCAACTGGGCCCCGAGGATGCCTGAGCTTAGAGCTTGGTTCTTACCCATCCAGGTGCTTGCTAAAAAAAAAAAGTCCCACACAAGTACTATTTATAGGCTCATAAGGCAATTCTTACAATTACATTTGCCATCACAAAAGAAATGAAGTTTCTGGAGAATTCTTTCTCCTGCTCCTACCATTTATTTTACCTGCCTCTCAGGAAGTCTCTCTATGTCGCCTCCCTTCTAAGACACCCGGGCCAGTTCTCTGGTTTGCTGACAAGAGTGTACACAAGCACAGAGAAGCAGGTTGGTGCTGGACGCCCACTTAGGCATCACCCAGGAACGTGTTGGAAACGTGAGCTGTTGGGCCCCAGTGCAGACCTAGAATCGAATCTGTGGGTGGGGGCCCTGAGATCAAGCCGGCCTCTCCAGCTGTTCTTCGGGATCCCAAAATACAGGAGGAGGCAAATGCGAACTGGCACACAGACCCCCTGGGGATCCTGCTCTTCAGTTCAGTTCAGTCGCTCAGTCATCTCTGACTCTTTGCAACCCCATGGACTGCAGCACGCCAGGCCTCCCTGTCCATCACCAGCTCCCGGAGCTCACTCAAACTTACGTCCATCGAGTTGGTGATGCCATCCAACCATCTCATCCTCTGTCGTCCCCTTCTCCTCCCACCTTCAATCTTTCCCAGCATCAGGGACTTTTCCAATGAGTCAGTTCTTCGCATCAGGTGGCCAAAGTATTGGAGTTTCAGCTTCAGCATCAGTACTTCCAATGAATATTCAGGACTGATTTCCTTTAAAATTGAATGGTTGGATCTCCTTGCAATTCAAGGGACTCTCAAGAGTCTTCTCCAACACCACAGTTCAGAAGCATCAATTCTTTGGCACTCAGCTTTCTTTATAGTCCAACTCTCACATCCATGCATGACTACTGGCTGATTATCATAGGCAGGTGTGGGGTGGGGCCAAGACTGGGCCTTTCCAGCAGCCCCCTAGGCCTGCCCCCGCTGCAGCTGAGGAGCCAGGCCGCTCAGGAGGCAGACTAGGGGAAAAAGTGCAGTAGAGGAAAAAGGCATTTCCTTCTGGGGCATGAGCGAAATAAAGGACCACAAACCCGAAGGATCGCTAGTCTTTTTCATGAATCAAAAACAAAGCACACCAGCCAAATCTCGTGAGCTGCGGTGGGAAGCGGGGCCGGGGGCCGTGGTCGTGGACTGGTGGGGTTCTCCTTACTTCCGGAAGGTGCTCTTTCAGGGCCATGGGCTGATTTTATGAATCGAGGATAGCCACATTAATGAGAGCTTGTGAGGCACGTGCCCGCTCACTTACTCCTCACACGCACTGGGTCGGGTAGTCTCCTAGGTTCATTCTCTGTGTGTGTTTTAGTCCCTCAGCGCTGTCTGACTCTGCGACCCCAGGACTGTAGCCTGCCAGGCTCCCCTGTCCAGGGGATTCTCCAGGCAAGAATACTGGAGTGGGTTGCCATTCCCTTCCCCAGGGGATCTTGCTGACCCAGGGACAGAGCCTGGGTCTCCTGCTTTGCAGGCAGATTTTTTACCTCTGCTGTGCTGGGTCTTAGCTGTAGCATGTGGGATCTAGTTTCCTGACCAGGGATGAAACCTGGGCCCCTTGCATTGGAAATGCAGAGTCAAAGTCACTGAACCACCAGGGAAAGTCCCCCCAGGTCCACTTTATAGACGAAGAAATGGAAACTTACAGGCCACACAGCTGGTGAGGGGCAATGGGTGTGTGGGCCCAGACCCCACGAAACCCACGCCTACACCGCCTGCCTCGGAGACGCCCTGGCCAGCTCTGCGGTCTGTGTGCAGAGGCTCCTGTCCTGAGCCCAGCGTCATCTGCCCACCACCTCCCAGCGCAGCGAAGGATGCAGAAAGCCAGAGTCCCACTGCCAGGTGCAGGTTAGGTCTGGAAATGTGGCTGCCAGGCCAACAGGCTTCTCCAGAGCAGGACAAACCACACTAACTAGAAAACGTCCTTTTCTAGAAATGGCTGGGGTCACCCACCAAAGCTCTGTTTTGGCATCTGGATCCCAGGCAGGCCACTGATTCAGCTTTCCCATTACTGGATCAGCAACCTGGCCAAATTCAGGCTCTTTTGCAAAAGGTCCAGTGTATTCTCTTCACTGCCAAATGGTGGCAGCTTTCTCTAGCGCTGACACGATCACTGAATTTCTTCAATTTCCCATCTCCAATTACAGAAATATTTTAGTAGAGGGAAACAAAGCTAACTGGTTTGCTATGTTTTCCATTCCTGACACCTCCCAAATTTCCTCCCCTGGTTTTCACGTTCCCAGGGCTGAACTCCAATGTGGTGGGTATGACATGGTCGTCAGATACCGGAGAAATTCACCTGCATTGATCTTCCTTTTTGTCAAAACATTCCATCTTCAGTACTTGTTTTGTTTTACACTTTTTAACAACAAAAATGTTTTTTTTTACTCAGCATCCAAGATGTGGGAGAAAAAAACAAGCCCAGGGCAACAACAACAAAGATGGCTATTAACTAATTTAAACTGACTCCGGGCCAACCCCACCGAGGCTCCGTCCCATTGTGATGTCGAGCTAATGAGATTCCGCTGGGAGATGAAAGCCACCCCGTCCAGCAGCGGAGGCCGCAGAAGGGCACTAATGCTCCCGCGGGAGAGAGGCCATTCATCCCACCAGTGAGTGCGGGTTTGAAGACAGCGCAGAAGAGATCAAAGCAGATGGTGAACCCAAGGAGAGGGAGGGAGGAGACGACATGAAAGTAACAATAAGCCAAGGAGATAGGGGATGCGGGAAAGAGGATTGGGGGGGGGGGCAGGGGTGACCGTATGGGCAGGAAGAAGATGTCACAGAAAGACAGAGGGCCTCAAGGAGGAGTATACAGACACCAGGGACTCTGCCAAGAGATATGTCCCATCTATCCTCAAGGCCAAGAGAAACCGCAGATGCTCTGGCTCAGTTTGGGGTGTGCACCCCACCCCCAGCCCTGGCTCGGGCTGGACTGCAGGGAGGGTGATGCCTCTATTGTTGCCAACACACCCACTCTGCTCTGTGAAACTGACTCCCAGTTTTCTCCACCGATCAAGCTTACAAACCACCCCCCCTTC